TGATTGATATGTTAATTTTGATCATTATCATTAAAATTATGATTATGGTTGCCATAGCAACTATCATTTATCATGAATAATATGCTAAATATAATCAAGATCATCATAATGAAAATAATGGTTTCTATGGTTACAAGCATTTACCATGAATATTACGCTAAATATTATCAAGATCATCATAATGAAAATGAAGGTTTTCATGGTAATTATCATTTATCATGAAATAATAAATATGATCAACATAATCATAATGATCATCATGGTTGCAATTGAACCATAATTTATTATGATTAGTATTTTAATTTTGATCATTATCATCAAAATGATGATAAAGTTGCAATGGCAACCATCATTTATCATGAATAATGCTAAATGATCAAGATCATCATAATGAAATTATGGTTGCCATGGCAACCATCATTTATCATGAATTTTATGCTAAATATTATCAAAATCATCATAATGATATATTAATTTTGATCATTTTCATCAAAATGATGATAATGGTTGCCATGGTAACCATCATTTATCGTGAATAATATGCCAAATATGATCAAGATCATCATAATGATCATCATGGTTGAAATTGCAACCATAATTTATTATGATTAGTATGTTAATTTTGATCATTATCATCAAAATGATGATAATGGTTGCCATGGAAACCATCATTTTATCATGAATAATATGCTAAATATGATCAAGATCATCATAATGAAAATTATGGTTGCCATAGTAACCATCATTATAAATAATATGCTAAATATGATCAAGATCATCATAATGAAACTTATGGTTGCTATGGTAACCATCATTTATCATGAATAATATGCTAAATATGATCAAGATCATCACAATGAAAATTATGGTTGCCATGGTAACCATCATTTATCAGGAATAATATGCTAAATATGATCAAGATCATCATAATGAAAATTAATGTTGCCTTGGTAACCATCATTTATGATGAATAATATGCTAAATATGATCAAGATCATCATAATGATCATCATGGTTGAATTTGCAACCGTAATTTATTATGATTAGTATTTTAATTTTGATCATTATCATCTAAATGATGATAAAGTTGCCATGGGAAATATCATTTATCATGAATAACTTGGTAAATATGATCAAGATCATCATAATGAAAATTATTGTTGCCATGGCAACCATCATTTATCATGAATTATATGCTAAATATGATCAAGATCATCATAATAATATGTTAATTTTGATCATTATCATCAAAATGATGATAATGGTTGCCATGGTAACCATCATTTATCAGGAATAATATGCTAAATATGATCAAGATCATCATAATGATTATCATGGTTGAAATTGCAACCATAATTTATTGATTAGTATTGTAATTTTGATCATTATCATCAAAATGATGATAAAGTTGTTATGGTAACTATCATTTATCATGAATAATATGCTAAATATGATCAAGATCATCATAATGAAAATCATGGTTGCCATGGTAACCATCATTTATCATGAATAATATGCTAAATATGATTAAAATCATCATAATGATCATCATGATTGAAATTGCAACGATAATTTATTATGATTAGTATGTTAACTTTGATCATTATCTTCAAAATGATGGTAGTGGTTGCTATAGTAACCATCATTTATCATGAATAATATGCTAAATATGATCAAGATCATTGTTCTTGAACTTCTTATAATTTTGAACAATAGTTTAGCTCATGACCATATATGGTCATGAAGACGTGAGGTTTTTTTTTGTTGTTGAAGTTTGATGTTAAGACGAGAGGAAATATAAAACGAAAACTATATCGACTTTGACTCTCAATTTTGTGTAAAATAAGGAAGTTTCATTCAGACGAACACTAGTGGTCCTTCGAGCTGGATCTGTAAGACGTTTGAGAGTCAGACGAACGGGAAAAAGACAATATATACAGATATTTTTTGCGATGGTGTATGGCGGACAACAAACAACATGGCGACAACGGTGATTTGGTCGACGAAACTCGAGAAAGACAGAGCGAAGAAAACGACAATATTGACGAATCGATGAGTACAGCAAGTAAACGTTTTCGAGTTCTAAAAGGCAGGGAAAAGGCATTTAAAACGCGTTTAAAAATACGACTTGAAGAGTTGTTACAAGCGACAAAAGAGGGAACTTTGACGGGCAAAACGACAATAAGACGAGCCATAACAAAAGCAAGAGCGGAACTTAACATCCTGGAAAAAGTGACCTGTGCACTGAAAGAGAATATTGTACTTGGAGAAGGCGACCAAGAAACGGACATTTTAATCGAACAACTGGACAAGGAATTGGACGACGTATCTCGGGAAGTGGACGTGTTAACACCAACAGCGGAGCAACTTCTACATACACGAATCCATATTCTGGGTGAACCAGAGACGGAAAGGAGTCAGACAAGCGAAAAGGATGATTTATCCATTATATCAAGTTTGAAAGGGTCATCGGCAGCGGCGATAGAAAAACGGCAACAAGACGCAGATGAAGGAGAAAAGAGACTCGAACAGTTTGAAGAAGAACAGCGTAAATTGGAAAATGACCTCAAGAAGTATATCGCTAACGTAGAACTGGGGAAACAGCGAACGGAGGACGCACGCCGTGTAGCTGCTTTAAACAGACAACGTGCAAAACAGGCGTGCAAAGAGAGTGGCGAAGAGAAGTTCACAAGAAATGTACAAACGGAAGTGAACACAGATCGTCAAACGGAAGTGGAACCCACACGTATACAAGCAGTTAAATTAAAAGGGGTTGAGCTGCCTACCTTTTCCGGGGACGATAAAGCAGAATATGAATCATGGAAGGCAGCATATATGTCGGTTGTAGACGGTGCAAATATCGCTGTTAAAGAAAAGATGCTACGATTACAGAGCTGTTTAACTGGAAAAGCCCTCAAAATTGCGAAAGACTTGGGATACTCTGAGAATGCATACAAGCGAGCTCTTGAGAAATTAGACAAGAAATTTGGTGGAGAACGAAGACTAGCTATCACTTTACTAACGCGCCTCCGTGGGTGGCCGAAATTACGACGTCGAAACCTTGAAGACATGGAGGACTTTTTAACAGTCTTAGACAAAATTCTCGTAGCAATACAAGATAATGTAGACCTAAACAGTCAACATCTGAACTTAACAGCGAAAGAAAAGTTATCAGAAGAGGACCTCCAGTCGTATAAGTATTGGCTGTGCGAACATAGCAAAGAAGATTGTTTTCAAACCCTGGTTGAGTGGATCGAGATGAAGGTTCGAATATTAGATGAAGTAAAGGAAGAAGTGAGCAGCGACGTGAAATGTGGGACGAGAACAGACAACAGAAAGAACAATCGTGGACTTAATACTGATAAAAAACCTAGAAAATGTGTTGTTGAGGCATGTCAAGCAGCATCCACCATGGGTTGTCAGCTGTTCAAAGGCTTACCTGTGGCCAACCGAAAGGAACTGATAGCGAAGAGTGGACGGTGTTTCTGTTGCCTGGCATCAGGACATTTAAGCAAAGCTGCCCAGAAAGATACCCTGTGGAATCAACGGCTGTAAGAGTGTAGCATAGTAGATATTTGCATGATCCCAGTGTACCATCGACAGATGGCAACCATGACTCTGGTGACGAGACTCAAGATCAAGCGAAAAACAAAACGTTCAACACCAACCGAGTTGAAAGTGTCATTGATGGTACTACTTGGCTTCGTTTCCAAGACCGACACGCGAAAGAAGCTTAAAGTGAACATTATGCTAGCCCATGTTTGACAGGTTCCTCCATATCCGAAAGTGCAGCAGAGGAACTGAATCTACAGGGAAATACCCAACACTTAACCATATCAGGAACCGGGGGTGCTGAAGTGCAGAAAGTCTCTCGAAGAGTCCAACTGATCGTCTCCAATGTCAAAGGAGGTTTTTCCGCAGAAATTGAAGCAAACGTATTGGACAGCATTACCGGTACGACGCCAGCCATACAGTGGTCCGAACTGAAAGACAAGTGGCCCCACTTGAAGCAGATTCCGTTCGAGAAAGTGTCAGATCGATGTCAGATCGACCTGTTGATTGGAGCGACCATCCCTTATTCCACCACGTCACACAGGAAAAATGTGGACCAGAAATCAATGACCCAATCGCTCGAAAGACGAACCTTGGATGGGTATGCTTTGGCCCGACTTCCACCGAAAACGTCCGCAATTATTCTCGGATCCATGTCACCCGCACCTACCAAAGTGACCAGTATGAGACTAAGGGCAACGATACAACGAACAAGCTGTTACGAAAGTTCTGGAACTAGATTCGATGGGAATTCGAGACGAAGACAGTAACCCCTAACCCAGACGAAGCGCGAGCGACCAAATCAGCGGAGGAGACACTACATCACTTGCAAGACAACCGATATGAGATTGGGATACCTTGGAGAGTTAACGAGCCCAGATTTACGATAATTACGAACAAGCCCTTTCGAGACTGGTAAGTCTGGAAAGATCTTTGCGTAAGAAAGGTGCAGAGGTGAGCTCGTCCTACCAGGAAATCATCGAAGAGTATGTGAAGAAGAATTACGTCAGGAAGTTTCGCCATCAACCGAGAGCAATGGTTATCCCACATTTTCCGGTAATTCGGAACGACAAAGCTACCACGAAAGTTCGAATCGTATTTGACGCGGCAGCGAAATACGACGGAAAATGCCTGAACGACGCAGTCTTATCGGGTCCTAAGCTGCAACAAGATCTTGTTGATGTCCTTTGTCGCTTCCGTCGTGCTCCCGTAGCGCTTTCAGCCAATATTTCACAGATGTTTCTTCAGGTCGGCCTCCGCCAGCAAGACCGTGCATATCACAGATTTCTTTGGAGAGACTTGGACGACGAGAAAGATCCTGAGGTTTACGATTTCAACGACTCCCATTTGGAACGCATCCTCTCCATTTTGTGCGCAATATGTTTTAAAACGCATGCCAAAGCTGTAAGTGAAAAAAACCGAGTGCTTCAGAGACTATTGAAAATGCAATGTACGTCGATGATGTTCTGGACTCGTGTGAAACAGTCTCGGAAGCATGTTTCTTGCGACGTGACCTTTCTGATGTTCTATCCGATGCAGGATTCAAATCAAGAAAATGGCTTTCCAACGAACCGTCCGTTCTTGCCGAGGTTTCAGTAGAAGACCGTGCTCAAAGCGTGGAGATCAGAGATGGCGAAAATCTACCGACACAGAAGACATTAGGAGTATCATGGAATGCGGAAACGGACACGTTTATCTTTCAAGTCAACCTACCGACAAATTCCTCTCCGACAAAAAGAAATGTTTTAAGCTGCATCGCGTCGCTGTTTGACCCCCTCCAATTCCTGTCACCCTTTACCGTGCGAGCGAGGTTACTGATGCAAGAAATTTGGGCTGCTGGTGTGGATTGGGACGATGTTTTACCAGCGAAATTATTAGTCAAGTGGAACCTTTGGATTTCCGAGCTACAAGAGATACCCAAGATCAGTTTTCCACGTTGCCTTCGCCTTGAAAGACCAACCGACATCCAACTTCACGTTTTCTCTGACGCTTCCAAGGTGGCGTACGCTGCAGCAGCATATTTGGTGTGCAAGTACCTCGACCGACTACCGACGTCATGTCTAATTAGTTCCAAATGTCGCGTTTCGCCAGTTAAAGCTATGACGATCCCGAGACTCGAGCTCATGGGTGCAATAATCGCCACTCGTCTGGCAAAGAAGCTGAAAAGAACATTAAAAGTAGAAAGCGTGACATTTCGGGTCGACTCGACGAACGTACTATACTGGGTTCGAAACCAAAGCAGGAACTTTAAAACGTTCATAGCAAACCGAATTGGAGAAATCCAAAGAAGTACGAATCCTGACCATGGCGACACATCCCGGGCGAAATTAATCCCGCGGATTTACCAACTAGAAGACTATCAGCATCTCAGTTGTCACAATGCCAGATGTGGATGGAAGGTCCAAACATTCTGAAGGAAGAGGAGTTGACTTGGCCGAAAAAGTTACCAGAAGATCACATAAGAGAAGACACAGAGTGCGAACAAAAAACGAACATCTCCTCCTTTGCAACAGACAGCGCGAATTTAGAAAATGTTCAAGACCGTCTCGTGCCAGAGAAGTTTTCGAGTTTATCCCGCCTGTTACGCGTGACAGCCTGGGTAAAACGTTTCTTGACGAACTGTAAACTTCCGAAAGAGCGACGAATGAAAAATGGCGTCATTACACGAAACGAAGTCTCCGAGGCTGAGACTTACTGGATAAGAAGAGCGCAAACCGAAGCGTTCCCTAACGGTGAAAAAGAGAAACGACTGATTAAACTCTGCCCCCATACAGACGAAGCTGGTCTCTTGTGAGTGAACGGACGACTACTGGATGAACAGCTTCACTAGGCATGATAGACATGTGAGCAGGCTTGATATGAACTTTGACCATGACGTCATATAGGGCAAGTATTAATATTTAACACCAGCACATAATTAGTGAGATAGGAAAATAGAGCAAGCGAGACGGAAAATGTGTAAATGTATGTATGTATGTGAAGTATCTGTTTGAGAGAATACGACGAGCTAACATGCGCCATCATTAAGTATATGCTTAAAGGACCTCGCCACAGAAGTAAACTATCGAATTTATATTGTTGTTTAGGTCATATTATTAGGGGTGATTTAGATCACACGTGCGAACTTGATCGGAACTATATATGCATGTTTTTATTAATATTCTTTGTATTAATTTGTTCTTATTCTAGATCGAATTGTTTAATATAATTTATAATACGATTTGCGAGTTTCCTTGGACATGTGCTTAATCTAAAATTGTGCTAACCGGTCGTCTTGGTTCCGACGAAACAACTACGATTTGCCAACGACCTTGCGTACGACGCCAAACACCCTATAATATTACCAAAAGACCATCCACTAACGTCCCTAGTCATCGTGAGCCGCCACAAGAAACTTGGTCACAACTCAGGAGTGGAACATCTCTTGACCGAAGTCAGATCACGCTTCTGGATCGTCAAGGGCAGACGAGCAGTACGAAATATCGTTGAAAAGTGTATAGGATGTCGAAGAATTAAGGCAAAACAAACAGGACAAAGAATGGCTCCCATCCCAAAGTCAAGGCTACAGTTACCACTACGAGCGTTCGAACGCATCGGAATTGACTATGGCGGACCATTCTATACCAAGCAGGAGCGACGTAGACCGAGAGAAAAAAGGTACATGTGCCTTTTTACATGTTTGGCAACTCGGGCAGTACACTTAGAGATATCATACTCCTTGGACACAGAAGCATTTCTGAACGCTTTTACCCGGATGGTATCAAGAAGGGGGACCCCGAGTTATGTGATATCCGACAACGGGACAAATTTCGTGGCCGCGGAGAAAGACCTAAGGCAATTGGTGCAAGCTCTAGATACGGAGAAAATTATCACGACAACCTCAAGAAATCAAATCATCGAGTGGAAGTTCAACCCTCCAGCGGCCCCCCATTTTGGGGGGGGGTATTCGAAGCGATGATTAAAAGCGCGAAGAAGGCATTAAGAGCAATTGTCGGTGAAGCGGATATCACAGATGAAGAATTGCATACGGCAATGTGTGCTGTCGAGGGACTACTCACTTCACGGCCGATTACATACGTGAGTTCCGACCCAAATGATTTGACTCCACTAACCCCAAATCATTTCATCGTTGGTCAACTGGGAGGACAATTCGCAGCAGAAGCGGTTGATGAAGAGGAATACGTGAAACCAACAAAGCGATGGCGTCGAGTGCAGCAATTGATCGGTCAATTTTGGAAAAGATGGATTAGAGAATTTCTCCCAAGCCTGAACATTCGAAACAAGTGGTATCATCACAAAAGAAATTTAAAAGAAGGAGACGTGGTATTAGTGGTTGAAGCAAATGCTAAAAGAGGAGATTAGCCAATCGGACGTATAACGGAAGTATATCAAGGCGAAGACATATTAGTACGTGTAGCAGAAGTGAAAGAGGGAAAGACAATTTATAAACGGTCAATACATCGTTTGTGCCCCCTTGAGATTGATGAGCAGTGAACATGTAACGAATATTGTATATTCAGAAGGGGGATGTTCTTGAACTTCTTATAATTTTGAACAATAGTTTAGCTCATGACCATATATGGTCATGAACACGTGAGGTTTTTTTGTTGTTGAAGTTTGATGTTAAGACGAGAGGAAATATAAAAAGAAAACTATATCGACTTTGACTCTCAATTTTCTGTAAAATAAGGAAGTTTCATTCCGACGAAAACAATCATCATAATGAAAATTATAGTTGCTATGGTAACCAACCTTTATCATGAATAATATGCTAAATATGATCAAGATCATCATAATGATATGTTAAATTTTGATCATTATCATCAAAATGATGATAATGGTTGCCATGGTAACCATCATTTATCATGAATAATATGCTAAATATGATCGAGATCATCATAATGAAAATTATGGTTGCCATGGCAACAATCATTTATCATGAATAGTATGCTAAATATGATCAAGATCATCATAAAGATCATCATGGTTGAAACTGCAACCATAATTTATTATAATTTTTTTGTTAATTTTGATCATCATCATCAAAATTATGATAATGGTTGCCATGGCAACCATCATTTATCATGAATAATATGCTAAATCTGATCAAGATCATGATAATGAAAACTATGGATGCCATGGTAACCATTATTTGTCCTGAATAATATGCTAAATATGATCAAGATCATCATAATGAAAATTATGGTTGCCATCGTAACCATCATTTATTATGAATAATATGCTAAATATGATCAAGATCATCATAATGATCATCATGGTTGAAATTGCAACCATAATTTATTATGATTAGTATGTTAATTTCGAATATTATCATCAAAATGATGATAATGGTTGCCATAACAACCATCATTTATGGTAAATAATATGCTAAATATGATCAAGATCATCATAATGAAAATTATGGTTGCCATGGTAACTATCATTTATCATGGATAATATTCTAAATATGATCAATATCATCATAATGATATAATAATTTTGATCATTATCATCAAAATGATAATGGTTGCCATGGTAACCATCATTTTTCATGAATAATATGCTAAATATAATCAAGATAATCATAATGAAAATTATGGTTGCCATGGTAACCATCATTTATCATGAACAATATGCTAAATATGATCAAGATCATTATAATGATCATCATGGTTGAAATTGCAACCACAATTTATTATGATTAATATGTTAATTTAGAACATTATCATCAAAATGATGATAATGGTTGCCATAACAACCATCATTTATCGTGAATAATATGCTAAATATGATCAAGATCATCATAATGAAATGTATGGTTGCCATGGTAACCGTCATTTATCATGAATAATATGCTAAATATGATCAAGATTATCATATTCATATGTTAATTTTGATCATTTTCATCAAAATGATGATAGTGGTTGCCATGGTATTCATCATTTATCTTGAATAATATGCTAAATATGATTAAGATCATCATAACGATCATCATGGTTGAAATTGCAACCATATTTTATTATGATTAGTATGTTAGTTTTGATCATTATCATCACAAAGATGATAATGGTTGCCATGGTAACCATCATTCATCATGAATAATATGCTAAATTTGATCAAGATCGTCATAATGTAAATTATGGTTGCCATGGTAACCATCATTTATCATGAATAATATGCTAAATGTGATCAAGATCATCATAATGATCTGTTAATTTTGATCATTATCATCAAAATCATGATAATGGTTGCCGTAGTAACCATCATTTATCATGAATAATATGCTAAATATGATCGAGATCATCATAATGAAAATTATGGTTGCCGTGGTAACGATCATTTGACATGAACAATATGCTAAATATGATCAAGATCATCATAATGATCATCATGGTTGAAATTGCAACCATAATTTATTATGATTATTATGTTAATTTTGATCATTATCATCAAAATGATGATAATGGTTGCCATGGCAACCATCATTTATCATGAATAATATGCTAAATATGATCAAGATCATCATAATGAAAATTATGGTTGCTATTGTAACCATCATTTTTCCTGAGTAATATGCTAAATATGATCAAGATCATCATAATGAAAATTATGGTTGCCATGGTAACCATCCTCTATAATGAACAATATGCTAAATATGATAAAGATCATCATAATGATCATCATGGTTGAAACTGCAACCATAATTTATTATGATTATTATGTTAATTTTGATCATTATCATCAAAATGATGATAATAGTTGCCATAGCAACCATCATTTATCATGAATGATATGCTAAATATGATTAAGATCATCATAATGAAAATTATGGTGGCTATAGTAACCATCATTCTTCCTGAGTAATATGCTAAATATGATCATGATCATCATAATGAAAATTATGGTTGCCATTGTAACCATCATTTATCATGAATAATATGCTAAATAAGATCAAGATCATCCTAATGAAAATCATTGTTGCCATTGTAACTATCATTTATCATGAATAATATGCTAAATATGATGAAGATCATCAAAATGAAAATTATGGTTGCTATTATAACCATCATTTATCATGAATAATATGCTAAATATGATCAAGATCATCAAAATGAAATTATTAATGCTATGGTAACCATCATTTATCACGAATAAAATGCTAAATATGATCAAGTTCATCATAATGATCATCATGGTTGGAATTGCAACCATAATTTATTATGATTAGTATGTTAATTTTGATCATTAACATCAAAATGATGATAATAGTTGCCATGGCAACCATCATTTATCATGAATAATATCCTAAATATGATCAAATAAGTAAAGATTTGGTAAAACATTTGACAATAAAAATCTGCGATAAAACATTATAAAGGCCCGTTTACACGAGCGATTTTTATGGCGATTTTTACAGCGATTTGGGCGGCGATTTTTTTGGCGTTTTAAAATCGCACGTGTAAACTACGTGCAATTACGTGCAATTTAATGGCGATTTTGTTACGATTTCACAGGTAAATTTATGTAATTTCTGATAGCGGGCAGCGGTGTTTTGTTGAAACATGCGCATTGCGCATTTGTGAAAATTGTTATAAATTAAAAACCAAAACAAAATCGTCGATGTTTCAAAATGAAATGTAATGTGCAAAAAATGATGTAAGGTTCAAAAATGTCTGAAATAACTTGATATGGAGGAAGTGGACGAAGTAGTTGAGGCTTTCAGTTTATTTATCGCTGCAGTCCAAATTGCTCGTCGACGAGTAAGGAGGAGAAAACGACGAACTGTTTGGATAAAGAGTTGGATAGCCACGAGGAAAACACTTGGAGCATTTCACTGTTTATTAAAGGATCTTAAGAATGACCCTGAGCATTTCTTGAACTATTTGCGGTTGAACCTTGATACGTTTGAGCAGTTAGTAGAGAAGTTACATCCTCTTTTGAAGAAAAAGGATACTTGCATGAGAGATGCTATATCACCAAGTGAACAACTTGCAGTAACACTTCGGTTTTTAGCAACAGGGGAGTCCTACACCAGTTTACAGTACCAGTTCCGAATTAACAAAGGAACATTGTCCCTTATCATTCCAAAAGTTTGCAAAGCCCTTTCTATTGTTCTTCGTGACGTTGTGTCATGCCCAAGAACAGCTAATGAATGGTTGGAAATAAGCAGACTTTTTCATTGGAGATTGCAGTTACCAAATTGTTTGGGGGCAATAGATGGAAAACATGTTAGAATCCTACATCCTCCAAATAGTGGCTCAGACTACTTTAACTATAAGGGCTACTATAGCCTTGTGCTAATGGCAGTGGTGGGTCCAAATTCCGAGTTCATTTTTGCGGATGTTGGATGCCAAGGCCGTATTAGTGATAGAGGCGTTTTGCGAAACACTATCTTCTATAAAGCACTGCAGTCTAATAAGCTCAACATTCCAGAATCGAAGCCCCTTCCAGCAACTGAGTCAATGATTGTAGATGGCTGGTGCCCAGTTTTACCACACTTTTTTGTTGGTGATGATGCCTTTAGTTTAACACCAAATGTTACACAGCAAAAAATCAATTTCTTAATTTAAGAAAAAAAAACTTATATTAAGATTTTTTTTCTTATTTTGAGAAAAAAATCTTGGGAGAATGGTAAGAAATATTTTCTAATGAAATTTCTTAAGATATTTTTTCTTTAGAATTTTTTTCTTAAATCTAGAAAAATGTTCTTAAGAAATACTTGGGAAGAAATTTTTTCTTAAGATCTCCCAAGAAAATTTTTTTTGAGAAACCTTTTCTTAAAATTTTTTCTCACTTTGAGGGGGAAACAAGAAATTTTTTCTTGGATTTCTATGATTCTTTTTTCATCATGCATATCAATTTTCTTAAAATAAGTATGATCAACTGTGGATTTATTATTTATAAAATGCAAGCAATCATGCATTAACATTCTCTTCATAAACAAAGGACACCCGATGCTTTTCATTTATAATTCTATATTTAACATAAGCATACAGACTGCATTGTTACATTATTAAAGAATATGTTTAAAAATAGGTATTATCAGAAGCAATTCATTGTGAAGTTCTAGTTCGACTTGAAATTCTTATAATCAGTTAGTACTAACTCAAAGCAGGGCTTGATATCTGTTGGAACAATCATGTCCTTAAATATATATTGGTGAAGAAAGGTCAAACCCATTTCATGAAAGCGGGGATAATCAAAGTCAAGCAGATAAAAACTTGCCAACAAAGCAAGAACTCCTTCATTCAGCTTTTCCTCGTCCAACTCCGCAACCATCTTCTTTCCAATAATAAGGTAGCACCTAGTTCTTTCGATCAGGAGGACAGGGACATTACCGGAACATTTTGAGCACCAGGCCT